AAATGGAAATTTTGATGATAGTGGCATTTTAATTGAAAAAAATTGTTGAATTTTGAATAGGTCTGGGATTTTTTCTTCCAGCATAATATTATCTTATTTTGGCATCTTTTAAGTGGGATTTATATTTTTAAATGGGAAGACACAATTTAAATTTGAAATTTGAGCTTAACTTTTTTAATTAGATTATGGTCTTTTTACAAATTTTAATCTTCAACGTTTACAAAAGGAAATGAATTTTATAAAAATAAATTTTTATTTCCTTCTAATTGATAGTAATTCTAATTTCAATTTTAATTTTTCAGGTGGTTGTGTTCGAATGAAGGAGTTGCTCATTACCTGCGAGCAGCCAGATTAACCACGTTTGCGTTCATTGTGTCCGTGGCTGAATTGTCTGAAGAATCGTCGGTGCAGTGGCACAAAACGAGTGAGTACCCATACACGTCTCTATTATCATTACTGTACGTGGCGAGAAGATCTCGTCTGCTGGACCCGCGAGCCAGCAGCACACCTACCTCGGAAAAATCGCCAACTCATTCAATCCGGCGCGCACAATAATGTCAATGATGGAGATATTATTAAATGCTGCTTCGGTAGCAGCCGGCGGCCATTATTCGTCGCATAATGCACGTTTTAAAATCATTATTGCCTGCGCGTTCCGAACGTAATCGTGTGCATGACTGGCTGATCCTCAAGAGAGCCCTGCACAAATTCCGGTAGCCGCAGATTGGGTTGTGTACAAACATTTTAAATGAAAATGACTTTTGAATAGGCATGGGACGAGACAAGTATTAGAGAGAGATTTTTTCCCATTCTCAAATCCTTTCCTCCTTCATCTGCTGCAGCTCCTTCGTCTTTTGTGAATTTTTATTCGCTTCTGCAAATAAAGGCAGGCGGATGAGTGCCCGCGAGATGATGTCATTATGTATTTCTGATGGGGCCGGACGCGATTTTATCGTCGCGCGTTTATTTTATTATTATTTCGGCTGGAATTTGGCAGCAGCAATTGAGTGTGCGATTCACACTCGATTGGTAATCTGCCGTCATCAGCGCCGCGCACCTCGACTCTTGCCGGTAATAATAATATTTATGCGCAATTACCGCTTGCCAAAAATCGCAATGTTGTTTGTCGAACAACAGCAGATCGACGACGATTGAAAGAGCTGCTGATTCTTTTTTATGCCAATGTTATTTCAAGTGCCAGCGATTTAAGAGGTGGTGAATGAAAGAGGATTGGGAATTTCTTGGAAAGATTTCGCAGATATACAAAATAAACACAATACATTGGGTCATGACGAGATCAAAATTTTACCTGCAAAATAATCAATGTCAAAAAAAATAACAACGGACAAAAAAAAATCTCAAATAAATAACTCATTTAACACTCTTGAATTATGTCTAGCAATAAGGGAATGATGTTGAAAAATCAATTGTAGCGACTAAATATCAAATAAGTTATGGAACTTTAATTTTATTATTATTTTTTTTTATACAAACATTGCAAGAGAAATAAAGGACTTGGAGGGAAAGCCAATTTTGAATTCTATACACTATTTTAAGTTCTAATTTAGCTTAAATCTAATAATGGAAAAGAAAATCATATAGTTGGTAATTAATCAATTTGAAATTGAATTTTCACTTTTTTTTTTAGTCAAATCCAAATCGTGTTTGAAACGAGAAGCCACTTTGATTAGTCATATTATGCCTACAATTTTTATCGGAAAACATATATTTTTGAAAGCCTTTGAAAGCTTATACGTTGAAAATTTTCCATCAAAAGTGAAGTAAAATTATTATTATTACTTTTTTTAAGTGCAAATGTGTTATTACATTGGCGATTAGCATTATAATCTATGCAAACTCATTTAGCCTCCAATTATTAAAAAGTTCAAATTTTGCTGTTCTTGTAGAAAAGGTGAGCAAATGTTGAGCATCACATATATTTTTCTCTTAGCGAAAATAACGATATTTAAGCTATTTCAGCTTAGCGTGGGTGTTCTGCTTTGATTACTCATAATAACCAACCCCTGCAACAAAAAGTGACGAGTCGAGAGAGAGGAAAACGTCAAGTTTATTCGGTTGCTCTCTCTGTCTGTGATTGTTTGGTAAATATTGTCTCCCGAACGTAATTCCCGCCGTTGTATATAATTTTCCCTCTTCATCATTCATCATCGCTCCTTTGGACTTTTTGTTCGTGAAAATTGATGCAGGAAAACACGGAATTCCAGTAGTAGTGTGTTTACTCACTCGCGTGATTGAGAAGAATAGGAACCCTTGACATTAAGGCGGCACTTGGCCCGCGCGATGATGAACGACTGTCTCTTTTCGTATACTCGGAACTCTCATTTTTGTCATCATCATAATAATTCCGTGCAGTGTGTCCGTCGCGCGATGACAGGGAATAATCTTACGGTCGAACAACTTCTCCAAGAGACGATCATTAAATAAAAATTATTGTACGTTATTTTTTGACTTTGTCATCTCGGTACGTGTCTGTCTGTCTCTTTTCGAGAGGATTTTCGCCACTTAATCGTGCAGGCAGCAAAAAATCTGAACTGCCGCGACAATGCTCGCCATCATCCCCCTTTGGATATGGAAAAACAAATTGTCATTGTCTGGCCGAGAGAGATCAACAAATATAATTCGGCGACATTTTTCAATAAAACGTGACCAATTACCGTAAAAACGAGGAGCTGCTGAGACGACTCGAATTTAATTTGAGGCGTCAGCATTTTTAATAGAGCGACCGTCGCCAGCAGCATGGCCGGGAAAAATTTATTGTTATATTTTTCTCGTCGTCGCTGATATAAATTATATTTTTTGGTGTATACGTTATGCGTTTCGTTATCCGCACGTATTTATAAAAATTTTACGAGCATCACCGGCGGCCGCGTGCACTGGCAAAAATAGCGAGAGCGCCTCATTGAATTAATCAACAGATAAAAATTTTAATATACATCCGCACACTGCACACACACATACACACCACCCACAACATGCACAGAGAGCATTTATTGCGATCGCAAATGAATGCAAATTAATACGACCGCCGGATTTTGCACACAGAGGGATTTTTCGCTCACCACCATTATTAATTGATAAGCATGCTTTTTATCCATTAGAATTATCAGAGCAGTCATAAAATTATTATTGCATTTTCAGTGTGCCTGAATGTGTTTGTAATGAAAAAAAAATAATATATTATATGTGCTAAATATTCAGCGTTTAAATAAACAGATTATTTCTTTTTTATAGTATATTATATTTTACAAAATTTATTGTGTTCCAATTTTGTTTTTTTTGTTCTGTATTTCTTTTTTTACCATATCATTTAATCATTTTTTAAATATTAAATAGCCAATTATTTTATTTAAAAATTCGGCCTCCTGCAGCTTTCAGTTATTAATGATGGCTATGCAGCGTATAGTTCACATGCGATCCTTGCTATAATTAAATGATTTAATCTGGATTATTAAAAAATCAATCGTACTAACAATAAATAAATATTTAATAAATTGGTATTGTTGCCTAATAAATAATTCCTTTTCCCTTTAAATTTTCAAATGAGAATTCTGAAAATGAGAAAATACATTTAAAAAAATCTTATTTACTTTTTTCTACATCAGTTTTATTAATAATCGTCTGGCTACCATACAGTTCAGAATGAACACGGCTGGAGCAAACAAATAATAACAAACACCAGCGCACACTTATTCATTGCTTTTTTGCTCGCATATTTTCGCACGCGCTCGTTGCACATATACGCAGATTTGGTGTGTGCAAAAATGCTAAATAGTTTTGTGTTTGTGCGGGCGCCGATGCTCGTAAAACTCTGTGGAAAAAGCTAGGGCCGCGAAATATTTATTAATCAGCGTTATGAGGAATCACGGTTCGCACATTATGCGCGTAATTGCCCACATTCGCGTCACGCGGCCTGCGAAATTCGATTTGCGGCGGCCCTGCCACGCGTTATTTCAGCCGACACACGCTTTTATTCAACTCGCAGTGGAATTAAAATTGACTCGTCAATAATGCATCTACTGATTTCGCGTCCGTCGCTCATTGACGCCTCGCCAATAAACTATGCCAACCGAAACCTAATTTGCTTTTCATCGCTGCCATCAAACTCGCGCCACGTCACAAATTGGGTGATTCATGTGCGCGCCCTGTCAGTGAGTTTTAATATCAAATCTAAGAGAATTGTGATGTTAATTTAATTTAATGTTATTATATTGAAGAATTGTTAAAAAAAATGATACACGTAAATTTGATATAATTAAAATGCTTATTATTTGTTTTAAAGTTCTTTTTAATTATTGTGATGCAACACATTATTTTTTTCAATTTATTAAATACTTCTTTTAAAAAATATTTTTTTACAACAATATTTATAACATAATTATTGTTAATAGATTCCAATACAATTTTTTTGTTAAAATATTATTTTCCACTCTTGTAGAGGTGTATAGTGTAAAATTAGTAACTTTTGACTGAATAAAATGTGTGCTTAGCTTATGCAATTGTCTGATAAAGTACCGCTAGCAAAATGTTTTGAACTTTTGAAGGCGACACTTAAAAGTGCAAAATGTAAAAATTTACTTATCCAGAAAACAATTTTTACGTTAACAAATTTTAGCAGTTATAAAAATTTGCTGCGCGATTTTGGACGGAAGTTGGAAGAACAAAGTTTTCCACGAGTTTTGCCGGTCAAAACAAAATGTAAATTGACGCAAATTCTACAAAGTCCTTGGACTGCAAAACACAGATCCCACGGTTCGATACAACATTTACCAACCGTTGCAAATTTTCCACTATCAAACGCGACAGTTTTCGGTCGAAAATCGGAAATCCGGCTTGATTTCGCTTGCGACGCACATGAAAAATAATTAAAAACGTTCTAGAGTGTGGAAAAATCAGTTTGCATATTACCACATTGCACTTCCTGAGGAAAAAGTGCGTCACAACTTTGAGCGATCGTTGTCCTTTTCATCTGCAACCTTAGTGCATCCTGTGCCATATCAGTATAAATTGGCAAGCATCAAATTTAACTTTTCAGAGGTAACTCACCAGAGAAAAGCCAAGCAACATGCGTACCGCCATCGTTGTGAGTAAAATTTTATCAATTATATTTTGAACCCTTATTTTATTGTGAATAAATTCAAAATTATCACGATAGTTATGGATTCATATAAGTGATATCCAAATTCTAATTGAAAGTATACTGAACATGATAATATCCTTCTGAAATATTGAATTTTTCTAGACATGCGTATCATCTGGTTTCTTTTAAATGCATGAAAATAAACTGTTTAAAAAAGTATAAAAAGTTTTATCCAACTGAACTCTACATTTGAAATATTTACACCTAAATGCAATATCAACCAAATATTTTGATATCATTAGATATCAATTTCTACTATATTCCATTATTTTCTTTATAAATTTCAGGTACTTTTCTTCACCGTCGCCCTTGTGGTGATCTGCACTCACGCTAAGGCAGTGCCTGAACCAGAACCGGAACCTGCTAAACCTGCAAAAAGTCTTAGCAATAAGAAATCTGGCCCTGATGCATCTGGATCTGCTACGACCACTGAAAAGAAAACCAGCAATGAGCCGAGTGCAACATCACCGGCAAAGAAGCCTGCTCAAAAGAAGAAGGCATACTTAGGATCAATTTTGTCTCCTGATTTCAACATACGCACTACTGTTACTGACAACAAGGTTACTGGTAAGTTCTGGCTGCGAACATATATGTTCAATGGAAACACAGTGTACTACGCGGCGCCCGCTTAAAGTGTCGATTTTCACAGTTAGACCTAAAACGTATCAAAAATAACCGGTTTTTTAGGTTAGGTAGGTTTTTTTAAGAAACCTACCAGTACCTAAAACCTAATAATTTTGGCCATACCTAACAATTTTTTCTTAGGTTTTGAAATTAAAAAATTCATGGAAATGAAAAAAAATTGATTTATTGTTGCAAAATGCGAGTTTTTTTTAATTTTTTTAATTTTTAAAAAAATTTTATGATTTTTTTTTGTCTAATTTTAGCAAAAATTAATAATCATTTTTTTTATAGTAAAAACTTCATGATTAGAAAAAAATGCAACAAAAAAGATCTGAAATCTCACAAATAGTTCTCATCACTGATTCATTTTTTATATTGATTTATTCACTTATTTATTTTTGAGTAGGCAATCAGCCGCAGAAGTATAGAGAAATTTTAAAAGTATATAGTGCGTATAGTGGATTCAAAACTCTTTCTTAAAGAGAAAATTATTTTTTTAACGTAGATGTCGTTGTTAAGCCACAACTTAAATCAATAACATATTAAAATTATGATTGAAACTTTTTAAAATATTTTTATTGAGGGCAAAATTTCCCGCAATGTTTTTTTTTTAGAAACTGGTGTAGAAGAAAGTTGATTAGATAAATTTTCATTTATATTGAATTGGCTGATTTTGTTAAAAATTAATTATTTCAGTTATTATACCTCTTTATTAACATTCAGAAATTTAGTGTTTTAGATTAAGTAAGTTACTTTAAAATCATTTCTTTTCTATAGAAAGAAATAAAATTCTTCAAAATTAAGTATTAAATTGTCATTAAAATCACTTAGAAAACGCTTAATGGCGCACAACGTGTAAAACTACCGAACCTATTATAGGTTTTACCGCGGTGCAAAAACGACACCACTAGCGCCCGTGGTTGTAAAGCCATAAGTCACAACCACAATAAAACTAGGATTTGTCTAGGCTAGGCAAGGGTGAACTTTTGTTCTTAATCAGAACTTACTTTATGAGCTAGGTTAAATACCGTCACCAGCCTCCCTTCACTGTTTTATCAATAATAAAAATATGATATTTCATTTCTCTCTTTCAATCAATTTAATTCCCAATTCCCGTGCCAACTCTCTTCTAATTTACATAATTTACGGGATTTTTAAGCTCAATCTTAAAACTTTCATCGTGCCTGCGCGACCCAAAGAAACATAACAACGAGGCCTGCCACCAAACTTGTCAGAACTATACACGGGAACGGGCGGCAATAAAGAAAAATAATCCTGCACCTTTTTGCTGCGTGAATGATCTGAAATAATTAAATTGCTCCGCTTGATCGCAAATTACCAAACGTGTCGCCGCTCTAGCTTTTTTCCATGGGCGTTTTTTGCCGCCTGGAGAAGCATTAGACACGCCATTCTGCGGCGTTTATCGGTGCCGCGTAATTGATCGGAGAGAAAAATGCTGCTGGATATATAATTTATGGTTTATCATTGGCGAGAGGTCTTCTTGATGTAAAAAGCTTTTATTGGGCGACTTTTTGCCTCTCTCCAAGGTGGCATTAGTGGCTGATATCCTTTCATTACTGGATTGACAGGCCATCTTTCAGGAATACCAAACCAATTACAAGCGCTTTTAATGCGCCGCGCTCGATCTGCCCTTGATGCGGCGCGGGACAAAAAGAAGCAGCTTGTGTGTGGATCTGCCGCTCTTTTATTGTTATTAACAGGCAATGACACGCTTTGGCGGGAATTTCATTTCTCAACACCACGAAGTCACAGTATTTTGAGACTTTGTCTGTGGCAGATGATGCGGAAAATTATAGTCGGTCCTGACAATCAGTAATTGCAAAATTTCATGGTGTATCGGTTTCACTTATCGTTTAAACTGATGAATTGAAAATTCAATTTAGTCAGTTGGTTCAATATTGGGTAATAGGTAATATTATGCCAAAGAAAATCGTTCTTCTAATCCTAACTAAATAATTTAAATAAAAATTTGCTGTGATAAAATTAAAAAGTACATTGGAGTAAATTTTTTGCTAATTGCAAAATTTAATTGATGCTCAATGTTAGAATCGGACATATCTTAAAAATGGAGTACAAATTACTTCTACATAAAAAATAAAGCATAAAAATGGCTTTGATAAGATCTACAAGAAATAAGTAAAACTGCAACTTTCATTAAATGAATAAAATTCTAGAAAATTCATGATTTTTATTGAAGCCTAGAAAAACAATAAAAAAAAACATTTAAAGGGTCAATTAATCAAATGATCAAGAATGCAATAAATCATACATTTCGGGGGGAAATTGGAATAAAATATATTTCAATATATTTTATTTCGTGTCATACAATGCTGTGTTTCCATGTGGTGGTGCTTTTGGTTTATTTTACTTACTCCAAGGTCTGTTGGATTTGATTGTGAATAGCAAAGAGCCAGACTGTTGGTCGCCGCGTTCAAACGAGCGTAAATTTTCAAGGAAGCCTCCTTTGATTTCCGATACCACAGCATCTCATTTATTCAAACAGCGGCAATCAAGCATCAGGCAGCAGTTCGATTCTTTTCATTTTTCCGGTGGCTAGTCAAAGCACTGCCTTTGTTCGGGCTGCTGCTGCTGCTGCATCTCGGTTGAAAGAGTGAGTTTTCTTTCGTTCATCTGTGGCTCAAAGTCGGGGGCCCCCCACAGTCAGCATCCATCAGAAGGCAAGATCGGGTTTTAGCTTTTCTTGATTGGGCTCGCTGCCACTCATACATACGTACATTCAGTAGATGCCAAACTGACAATACAGGCAGCGCGATTCGATCATCAACATTAGTCAAAGAAGAGAAAGATGACTACTGGAAAGAGACGAACGCACATTTGTATGCCTTTCATGGTCACTGCATACGAATAAAAAAAATAAATATACAAACATTCAGTAGCACGTCCGAGGAGGAGAAATTACCGAGAACACACAGGCAGAATTAATCATTTTTCTTTATTTTTTCCTCTGCTCGATTCAGAAAGGAGAAGCCGATAATTAAATTAGGAATCAAAAGCGACGGCGGCACTCACGGGAGAGTTCATTAAAGATTCATTCAACGGTGCAATTATCTCGCGGGAATTAATTGTTCAAATTAAGACAAAAAGTTGCACGGGAGCTGCCGCCTTTCAATTCGGTGCTGAATGCAAAAGGCTGTGTGAGTTGAATGGGGTGATGATATTGAGTTTCGAGGCGAGGGGAGCGGTGCCGGAAAATCCGCAACACACAAAAGTATTGACAGCAAATAAAATAAAAGAGAGAGAGAGAGCTTTGACTGCGCGCTGCTCGCTCATTATTATTCAGCGAAAATGCAAACAAACACTTCTTCTTTTATCCCCTTTTGCCACCGGCTTGTTTCGTACAAATTGTTGAATTCTAATTAAAGTGGAGGAAAATCACCTGCTTATTTGGCAAGACAGCTCGCTGCCGAGAACAGCTTTATTTTTTTTACGCCGTGCCCAACAGCCGCTGAAACGCAGAGAGGGAAATCGTTTCAATTTGCACACAGGCCTCTCCGCAGAATGGGAAAAAAGAGAGGAGAGAACAAGAGAGAGTGTGCGCTATTTTTTCACATTTTGATGCTGCAAGATTAAAACGTCAATCCGTCAAGAATTTATGCAATTTTTAATAACATGTCATCTTAGGCTGATTGTTTTTGCGGAAAGAGAGCGAGCGGATGGAATATTATTATTTTATTATAAAACAGAAAAATGAGTCTGGCGCTGCTGGGCTGACGCGAGAGCCTCTTGTTTGCGTTATCAGCGGAGCAGTCGTTGAGTGGAGGGAAATAAATAAAAAAAAGTATATAAGAGAGCAGATGATGGATCTAAATTAATTCAAAACACAAGAGAACGAACGCGGGCGGTGCTCGCTCAGTCAATATTAAAATGTGTCTTTTGCAGACGTCCTCTTTCTCTCTCACTCGGTTTTAATCATCCTGAAGAGAGCAATTATTTTTTTAGTAGTAGCTGAAAAATCGTTAATTGCTTTGCTGTTGTGTGGGCATTGCACTGCTCTGCAGTAAAAGCTTGATTAAAATTTAATATTTAGCAGCAGTCAATTCTCAAGTAGAAATAATAAAGAAAAAAATAGTATTGGATGCGCTTTTTTATAATATTTTATTGTTAACGTCAAAATCAACTTGAGTTATTAAAATTTTCAAATGATGGCATATTTATTTTTTATTAGCATTTCAAATATTTTATTTGTATAATTTATATTTCATTTAGTTTTATTTCTTGACATTTATTGGTTTAGATTGTAATTGACTGCGTGTAAATATTTTTTAGTATTAATTTTAATGTATAAATATCATATAAATATGGTAGCGTATGCATAGAAGGCTAAAGTAAGATCAATCTCCGATGTAACAGGTCGTCTGTTATTCAAGAAAATCGTTATTAAAAATTAAAAGTCTATAAAACAACAACTGAAGCACATGAAACTTCTATGGTTAATCTTACTATTCATACATACTTTAATTCTAGTATCCAGAATATAAAAATAAAAATGGAATTTATAGTTTTACCTATTGCCCGACCGTTGGAAGACATTTTTTTTGTAACGGACTTCAAAGCAAGTGGGAGAAGATGAGAAACAATAATATGCACACATGCAAAGTAGATCATCTGAGAAGGTCCTCATCTGGCCCATTCTCTGATAATCATCAAGTTTGTTCAGCGAGAAGAGTTATTGCAGAAGGTGCGAATGGAAACAGTTGGAAATAATTACCGATTCAACCCTAGTCCGGCGCGCGATCTACATATTAAACGTTCAAAGGTTTATTTTTTGACACGACGCCTCTACCTGCCCGTCGTCGTCCGCGATAAAATCTCTCTCAAGTGAGCGAGAGAGAGGAAAAGAATGGTTTTGTGCTCCTGGAAGGATCGAAATGCGTATGCAAATCATATTTCTAATTCCGCTCCCTCTTTTTCTCATGCAGATCTGCCCAGATGGAATTAGTACTCGACGCCTATATAAAATTTTTTTATAACATAGAAGGCTGATAGACATCTCTCGGCTAAAAGTGTTCCAGTCTTTCATTATTTTTTCATTATTCTATTATTGGACCGATATACATATTCACGTTGAGCGATTTTACTTGCATCCTCGCTTCCTCTTTGTTATCTCCTCAGATCCATCAAACACCTTGAACATTATTTATACCCTTCCTCTTATTTGAATGTATGCGATAGGGATTTTTGTCAGACAAAAGACAACGATTGAAAAATAATGCCCATATAGGCTTATGAAATCGCTCATTCTCAGGTGCTGTCATTCATGCTTCATTTGAATAATGGGGAATTATTCTCACCAAGATCATTTTCCCAGCCCCCTTCTGATACGTTGAATAAAATTTAGACGTGATTTCTGTACTGACAAATCCTTTCCAGTCGTTTTAATATTCTTAATTCTAAACTACAGTTTGGTTCTGTAAAATATTTGAATTTTTTTAAATCAATTGTTTTCAACAATTGAATGAAATGTATTGTAACAATTTGGAAAAATAATCAACAACATCATTAAATAAAATAATATTTTATATTTTGATGCATTATATTTTTTTTTAATTCTTATTATAGTGAAAACTTTGACTGACTGTAATAAAAAAAAAATAATAATAAATTTGGTATATTTATTTAAGATTTTGTACATCAAAACATACCATCGGAGACTGTGTATTGCTTAATTAGCATAAGTTGATATTCGATGAAGTTCGAATTTTTATTCTTGGTGAGGTCGACGCCCAGGGACCGCAGCCAACAAGTATAATTATTAGAATGGGCATCGCAAGGCCCTCACTCTCGTGCGCGCGCCGGAATAAGATGATTACTTTGATTACGGCGCGCACTATCAGCCGCTGCTTAGGTGCTGATTATTAAAATTAAGAGAGCCGCATGACGACCCACTTTAATTCCACCGTCGGAATTAAAATAATATCATTTCTCCCGCGTCTTATTCTAATCAAATCTCCCTAGCACCAAATTGCTTCGCCTCTAATTTATTCCCTGCCAGCCAAGCCGAGAGAGTGAGAGAGGAGCTGGACGGCTAAGAGCTGTTTTGTATTTAATCACGCCGAGAGTCAGTCGGACGCAGAGGCTCATTAATTAATATCTTCATTACGAATTTCGATTAGATTCTCCGCTGTCCCGGTGTAGAAATTGGATATACCTGTCAGAGGTGATGTGA